CATACAGACATATACACCAGTTGCGTAAAACTCCCGCGCAATTGCCGTTCGCTAAATGAATCATAAGATCGTACAACCGCCTTCCCGTCTCCGCCGTCTTGCTCTCTCTCGATGGGATCGGGGCTCTTTCTTCGATGGGTACTCATCCTCTTGAAGCCCATGTCCTGCATTACTCTTCCGGATAATCTGCCTGCAGAGATCGATGAAGACTTCATCGACGTTCGCTATTTTGCCATGACCGCGTTAGCAAGACCCCTTTTTCAAATCCTCATGCTCAGATAGGGGGAGGGCGCGGGTAGGTAGATAAATTTACCTCGCCGTCTTGCCGAAGTCTCATAATACGGCGCATTCCCCCAGCTTTGTGACACGGCAAATGCTTTTGACCTGCTGACCTGGCGGTCCTCTTCTAGATCTGACTTGTTCCCCACGATGACGATAGGGACATTCTCGTCGTCTTTGATACGGATGATCTGCTCCCGAAGCTCTGCTAATTCGTACAAGCTGCTCTGGCTGGTGATTGAAAAGACAAGTAGAAAGCCTTGTCCTGTCTTCATGTATAACTCTCTGCACAGCGATCAGTCTTGTGCCTTTTACCCATTAATTGCACTATAAATACCTCATCGCAGCTGTGACAAAGGTTAGAATTATCACGTGACATAGATATGACAATTAACCGGAGGACTTACTGAACTGCTCGGTGCCAGCCGTATCCAAGCTAGAAAGGGATGAATGAGCTGCTGTGGATTATGGCACATTCAAGGATTGCCTACATTTGCAGCATGCATTGGCGGCCCTTTTATTAGGTCAGTCTGGTTTATTGACGGACGGATTGTTCGGTTGAGAGAACTCACATCAACATCGATATGCTTGCGGTACGTATCTTCAAGGGTGGGATCATAACTCTCAATCCAGACATTCTGGACGAATTGCGCTTCAAAGCAATGGTGTGAGCAGATGTAATTCAGACATAGGAGGGGGGGGATCGGATGTTACGGCCTCACCTGTAAGGCAACTTTTGCCAACGCCGCCTAAATGCAGAGTTTTTGTCAGTCTAGGGATCTCGAACCTCCTGAATAACAGGAGATGGAATGGAGATGACGCAATCGAAGATTCGTACCGGCGCCGAGAACAACAATGTTGAATTCTCTCCTAGAGGAATCCTATGTTAGCACAATCCCCCATATCCGGCCAGGAAAAGGACATCTATCGCTGGGGCGGTGCCAACCTTTGCGAGGTCCTCGCCATGCTTGCGCTGGACGAACCGTTCCGTTCGGTGACTCGCTGGAAATTGTTGTAGTTGTATGTACTCCGTACTCCGTAAAAATAAATCGCTCTGGGTAGCTCTCGAGTAGAACGGCCAATTCAACCTCACTACCGAAAAGGAGCACTTTCCCTGCAGTTTTGTCGGCTCTCACAACACGACACCCCTTGGGAAGAGATCCGGAAGCTTTCGTTTTCGCAGCTGCTGGGGGACATGTAACTTGCACGTCTGGAGAAAGGGATGGACCATTGATTAAGGAGACGAAAACCACTTGAGGTAGCGCATACCCCAGGGCACCGCACAGTACTAGATCAGTGCGCGGATAGGCTCGCCGAGTCGCAGGCTCGAACTACAGCGGTAGTCTGGCGGATGGGATCCGTTGGTTGGGGTGGTCCCTGGGCTTTGGGTCCTGGGTCCCGGGATTCCTTGCCTGGCTTGCCTTAGAGCTATCAGGAATGGTGCCTATCTTTGCTTCACCTTGCGCTGCGTCGTTTGCTGAAACTACCGATGCTAAGTTGAGGGGAAAGGCCACGGCCACGGCCACGTACATAGGGTTTGGGGGCGGTAGAGTACCAAGGCACAGGACCGAGCACGATGCACGGAAGGACTGGGAATATGAAGGAGGAGAATGTGAATGTGAATGGAGAGGAGGAACGGCCCTTTGGAACAGCGTCACAGGAGGACGGCGTATTAGCAATATATGCCACATGGGAAATCACGTCCTGGTATAATTTATCTCGCGAAAAGGGACGGATATGGAGACGCCGCTATGCAATGCGGCAACGACCGAGGCTGGAAGCGCGCATCAGCTGTCGAGAGCCGGTCTGTGGTGCAGGAGGCGCCGCCGGGTTGTTGGAAATTGGAATCGAGGGTCGCAGGACGTGGTACGAGTACGAGTACCTACGTATTGTGTGTACGTAGCACTTTGGGCTCTGTACTCTGGACTCGAGTACTTCGTGTGTGTGTGTACTGTACGATGTGCTCGAACAGATCCTCCGCAGTCCGTTCGTGCCCTAGACCGGCTGAGCTATAGCATCTCGAACACGGCGTATCTCAGCATTGCAGAAGCACGGCGAATACATCTCGGTATTAATGCCATGCCCTTCGCCAGGCCGTAACAGCACCGCAACCAACCACACCGCAATCCAATAGCAGGCTCGGTCTGGCAGGCCTCCCAATGCCGTGGTGTTCGGAGGTATCCTCTCATTAATATGCAAGGAGGCAGCGGGCAGGATGCCGGCGCCGCATTTCAAAGGGGCTGGAGCACCTATCGTGATGGTAGAAGCCACCCGCCCTCCACCAGCTCGTCTATTAAGGTGTCGCTTGCACGCCGGCGGCGTCTGATCGGCAGCGCAAGTTATGACCTTGTTGGACGGCCGTGTGCTGGATAGGCTGGAGGGTGGAGGAACTCGAAGGAGGTGATATCTGAGAGGCTACCAAGGATCGACGCTTGTGGCTATTCCCCTGGTCTCCCGTTCCCTCTTCCCTCCTCCCCGGCGTACTCCGTAACGATATGATAATAAGAAGATGCTCATATTTGATGATTGCGGGTCCAGGATTGGCGACCGGAATCTTTGCTGGGCTGCCGAGTGGTATGCGGTGCTCGCAATGACAGAAGAGTTGCCCTGATCAATGCAGGTCCGGGTTCGTGCGCCTTATGAGTTGCAGTTCCCGTTGCATGGCATGGCATGAGGTGGGAACGTGGCCGCACGTGATTTGAAGATTGAGGGTGGAACACGACGTTACAGTTGCAGTTGGGGGTTTGTAAACAAAGCACGAACAAGTTGCACAACCTCCGTGCCTCGAGAAGACAGCCAACCAGCCGCCCCATTATACTCATCGCTCAGGGGAACGTGGGGGCATGCTTCTATCTTGGGTCTTGCAAATCGCCGCAATCTTATCCAGGAGATATTGAAATCAGGTACAGTATCTAGTAGTGGTAAGTTGCAACAACTAACATTGTGCTTAGTCTAGTATCAAGTCAAGCCCGCAAATGTTAGTAATATAGCATCAAACATATACGGAGTTATCAATATATAGGCATAATATAATATAATCCTTAGCCTGTTACGAGCAACTACCTGAGCGTTTCCAGATGTTATTTGAAAAAACTTCGCGTTACGAATCAATTGGTTTCAGCACGCTATCATCCAGCACCGCGTCATCTACAAAATCTGAGCATGTACGAAACCGTGTCTATTAACCCGCCCCGTCGATCTACACTTAACACTGCCAAGATCCCCAAACGAGTTTCAATCTTGCTTGCCTTATTTTATTCTTTTCCTCATCCGCAAGTTGCCAACCAGTCGGGAAACAAAGCTAGAGCCACCACCAATTGTTTCAATACCGACTTAACGCCCCTAATAACGGGAATAATTTGCCGAGATCGGGTTCTTCCGAGATAGATTCGGCAGCTTCCAAGGCAAACTTCCGTGAAAGATGGCCCGTATCGATGTAACTACTTGGTACTTGTATAAATAATCTCAATGTTGGAAGTGTCTCACTGGCAGGTAGATGCATCCTAGATTGACCCCAGGGTGATTCGTGGGATATCATAATGTTCCCGGATGCAGGAGCGCGGGCCGGGTTTGCGTTTTCAGCTACCGTCAACCAAGACATTCATGTTGGATAGATCCAACACTCCAATGGTCTTCATTAATCTTTGTATAACATATTCAGACGACCAATAGCTCTGGCCAATTCTCGCACAATGATTCGTAGAACTCGTCTGGGCCTTGAAGCCGTTTCCGCTCTTGTCCTATGTTTTTGCCACGGAGCCCCCACAACAAAGAGACGACCTACACTTGGTTGTAATGGAATTCGACTCGGTGGCGGAAGCTGGGTAGCCAGGAATATGGCAATTGAGATATACGTATTGCATACGGCGAGTGTGTCGTCCCCGAAATATATCCTTCGACTTCGAACATTCTTTAAGAGATGTTAGGTTTATTTGGGGATGCAGGCGAATGCCTTGTTGCAGAGAGCTTGTGTAACAGCTTCAGGGAACTATCATCGAAGATCTATCCTAAAGCTCTTAGCATAATACGGTGCACAAGGAATACCATGGCAAGCCTTTCGCCAACACTTAACATGTGGCCTCTTCTTCACCAGTCCATACCCATATTTCCCACCTCCAGTCCTCAAAAGCAACAAGTAGCCATATCACGTAGCCTCCATCTTAACACGCTTAGTGACATCAACGGCAGCTCTCATACCTGCATCACGTCGCATGCAGCAGCCACTTCCCTCCGCGTATACTTCGGCCTGAAGCTCAGCCACTTCCTCAATTCATCAAACTTTTCAGCGAGGCATTTATGCCGTTCAAAGCAGAGCTGCCCCCAGCCCCGTAAGGAATAATGCTGTCGGAAGACAATCGATCTGCAAGCAAGGAGGGAGAGGCCAAGGCCAAGAGCTCGTAGTATGATTCGAAGTTGTCGGTGGGCAGGTAGGGATAGCTGCGCGAGGGCCTAGACGGGCGAGTCGATTATCCTGGAGCCCAAAATAATGATCAGTGATGCCAATGGCACGTCGATGAGAACAATGGTATCAAAAAGAAAAGGGTGGACCTCCGTCGTCCATAAATCTGACGAGTTGTTTGCACCAACTTTCAAGGCGGCCGAGGTGACGTCTGGGCTCGGGAGTCGGCAGGGGTAGCTTGGGCAGGTCCGGGTATATATTTGTACCTACGTACCTCGGGACGGCCTCTTTCAACAACATCATCATCCTAAAGATACGCGGCATGTCACAATCAAAGGTTATTATAGTCACGGGGGCGAGCCGTGGAATTGGGCTTGCAATTGCCAATTATCTACTTCATGCATCACACAAGCTAGTTCTTGTGGCAAGGAGTGCGGAACCACTGGAGAAGTTGAAATCGGAATATCCTGGCCAGGTCGAGGTTGTTGCGGCAGATCTTGCCGATTTTTCGGTATGTCTAATTTATTCTTCAAGTCTCTGTCTTCGATATATGGGGAAGGAATCGGATTGGATAGATATGAGGTCAAGACTTCAGTGCCATGTTGCCTATATCCGAGCTCGGTCTCGTCTCGTTATTTGTGTGGAGTTCATAAAAACCACCAACATATACCAATTCTTGCAACCCTCGTTTTACCGGCCTCCTATGTTGCTTTGCTTTAGGATTTACTGTGGAATACGAAAATGCAGCATCACAATCCTCAAACATGCCGCTAACTTCACAAATTTTGCTCATTGCATTGACGAAGCTAATCACAAACTAGGTCGGCAACAAAGTTGTAGACGCTGGTCTGAAAGCTTTCTCCCGCATTGACGGCTTAATCCTTAACCATGGCACTCTCAGCCCTGTGAAGCGAATTGCAGATTCGACTCCGGAAGAATGGAGGTCCGCATTTGATGTCAACTTCTTTAGCAACCTCGCTTTTGTAAAAATCCCAGTCCCACCATCTATAAAGCTTTGCTAATCCAAGTACAGATTAAAGCTGCTCTTCCTTCTCTGCGTCAATCACATGGCCGCATCATCCTTACGTCTTCTGGAGCTGCAGTAGGCGCATACTCAGCTTGGGGGGCTTATGGCTCTTCCAAGGCCGCTTTAAATCATCTTGCCGCGACGCTTACGATCGAAGAACCTGATATCTCCTCTATAGCAATACGGCCAGGGGTAGTGGATACCGAGATGCAGAAGGAGGTCCGAGGACATGCCACGACGATGGATGCCAAAGACGCCGAGAAATTCAGAGGTTTGCACGAGCAAGGTAAGTTGTTGCGACCAGAGCAACCTGGGAACGTCATGGCACGTTTGGCATTAGGCGCCGGAAGAGAGTTGAGTGGCAAGTTGTGGAAGTAAGTGATTACATAGGCATGTGAATGCTGAGCTTCTCTAACTTATTTACAGTTGGAACGATAAAGAGCTTAGTGACTTCCAGGACGCATGAATACCTTGTTGAATTGATTCCTACAATCGTCGAACCTCGACCGCCTCAAGATGAGTAGGATACAAGCCTTACGATAATTTAATGAGCTTGCTATCCAAAATATAGTTGCTGGAACTTGAACATTTGACAACAATGACCAACTTGTTTTATAGTAGGAAATATATTCTTTTGATGTTTCCATTTGTCTTTCTGTCCATCTGCCAATTCAGCTCTTTCCACCAAAGCTTCTAAATTTCTCAAATGGTAAATTAGATGCTTGCTGCAACCTACCATGCCCCGTTAAAGCAAACGAAAAGGTTTACCCTCAGTCGAAACCACCGCATATTCATAGATTGTCTGAATTATTCTCCAGATTACTGTGGTCCCACAGTCTCGTTATCGACACATTGTGTGCCACGATCAGGAAACACTTCACGGAAATCCTGGACACAGGTTCCAATAGCAAGAGAAATAGTTCGAGTGAGCGGTTTCCATTATTCCTCGATTGTAAGCAATAGAATAAAATCCAGGTATTTGAAACCCGGTAGCCGCCGAAATCTGATTTATTTCCAGAAGGCTCGGGCGGATGGGAGAGTCAAATCATCAAGTGGAAGCAACCGAATATCCTCTATGCTGGTTCGAGGCAATAGGCTTCCCTAGACGTTCTACCGCGCGATACAAAGACCCCCCTGTAGATACTTGAAGCATACTAGCATGATTGTAAATATAATTTAATAAAAAAGATGGCTTGACCTCTCTGGGAATTTTTGAGAGTATCATATAACTTGGCGACGATATATCTTATTATAAACTAGATAAAAAGAGATAGTTTCGGCCGCCTGTGGAAAGCTTTATTTATTTAGGTATCTTAGCCTGGCGCTGAAATTATATAATTTTGTAGATATCCCGCCTAGATAAAACCACGGGCCCACTGGCCGTGTAGTCTGCATCATCGTTGCAATGTAGTGCTTATAGTCGCTTCCGATCATGTTGATCAATTGCGAATATATCCAGTCTGCCAAGATAAACTTTTAAATTATTTCCATGCATTTACAGGAGTTAATTAGGCCAGACTCAAGATATCGCGATCGCGATTGAGGCTGGTCATCATATGAAGTTCCATCCCGCTTTGGGGAGGGGGGAGTTGTTACGATAACTGGAAGTATTTTGTAGTATCCAACAACACCCAAGAAAATGAGCCATGCCAACGAGGTTTCCAAGATCTTTCAAAATCAATATGCCCTATAAGCGGACATGAAATAATAAAAATTCCAGGGGGCTGCTAATTCTCGAAACACCAAAAGCTTATCCCTTTGCTTAGAACTTCCCACGAGAATGTGGGCTTTGCTAGCCTTACCGGCACTTATAGAGTGGACTTGGCACCCCGCTGTTTCACTATGGAGGCTGATCAATAGAAGATATAATAATCTTCATAATCCAGAAACCGGAGTGGTTTACCGGCCAGCTGGATCTGATACTGCTTAGTTAATGGGGCTGAACCATCGAGAAATCATTAAAAGTTGGGGACCTTTATCATCATCTTTCATAAGGGACGACACTAAGCAGTATTTATGACCGACTTGCTATGATGCCAAAAAGAGAACTTAACGGGATTTCTCCGATCGAAAGAGACCGCGTGCGTAATCGAGAAGACCGAGGTTCGATGGTATACGAGCATTGTGTGACACCGTGCAAAGTGCTGTACCTTGGTACCCAAGTAGCCTTGATCCCTTGATGGGGAGGGCTGCATTTACGTCTGTATGGCTGCGCAGTGCGCAGTGCTTCCGTCCTTTGTACCACTGGTAGCGTTTTGTAATCAGACTGCCTCGGCTTAGCATGCGATGCTTTACGCACAAGCCAATACGAAGTACTTGATGTTTTGTTTCACAAAGCTGAAGCCACTTCCACCCTTATCCTATTGGCGAACATGTTCGCAGTATTCCGATCGGGTAACTTCCCCGCAACTCCGTTCTAGCTGTTGACAGCTCCCTCGACTCTCCAGTCTCGGCATGGGTCCGCTGATATCATATCCCCAGAGTATCTCGGGCGTATGTCCACTTGTATCGTTGGCGGCCGCCGCCAAGGTGGTATGGATATGTGCGGTTGTACGGAGTACATATACGAGCAAGCTTGTATCCTCCGTACAAGGCAGCCGATGTGAGAGCGCGGTGTCGATCGCATTGAAAAGCCGAACGGTTTCGCGTCTTTTTGAATGCCAATTACTCGCAGCGACCTGGTTTTCTGGGAAAAGACGACGCGTCTTTGGTGACGTTGGTTTGTATTAATCTCGGTGCTGCCGAAGACCGCGAAGGCCGAGAAGACGTCCCTGAATAATTGCGACTTCAGTATGACAAAAGCAGGTACCCCGGACGAGTGTTGGTGCACGAAGTACCAGGGACGAAGGGACGACGTGCGAAGTATCAAGTGCATCTCGATATTACAGAGTATTGAAGCGGACGTCTATCAGGCCGGCAGTCTGTCTCGTCTGATACGCCCCGACGATTCCGCATTCAGGCTTGGGCTTGGCTTGATATTGGAACCGATCGCCAACTGCGGGGATCGTTATGGATCGGTCCATTCACTCCGGACGAACCAAGCGTCGAGAGCCCTTCTAGACTTCCACTGCTTCTACTGGCGTTCCCCCCGGTGTTTGGGAACCTTGGGCCCGATTGTATAGTTCGTCCACGGCTAGTATCATGCTCCACGCGGAGCACAGTTGCTCCTGCATCCTGGTTGTCGTCGGAGAAGCCCAGGTTCAACGACCGACTCCTTATTTTCAAATTGTCACTGCATCTCCTTAAAGGCTTGCATCCCTCGATCCGCTTTGGCCGTTTCCATACTTCTACCTTTTCTTCTTGAGCACCCTCCCTCTGCTATCCGTGTCTGAGGTCAGCTTCCAAGGCCCTAGCAGCATAACTTATAAGATAGACACCGCCACTGGGTTTATCCAGCTGCTCTACGAGAATCAGTAGAGTTACGAAGTACAACCTGTTGAATTGACCAGATCAAGTTCCCGCTTCTTCCCATCATGGCGAACCTATCAAAGATAACTGCATTCGCGCAAGGACGCTCGCCCGTCGTGGCCCTGGTGCTCGGGTCTGTCCTTGTCTATATCGTGGTCAATCTCCTGCAGTGGGCGATTATTGCTCGCCGCCGCTCACTATTTGCTCGCAAGCACGGGTGCAAACCAGCGCCCAGATATCCTCACCGTGACCCAATCGGTTTGGATGTTTCCCTTGAGAACTTGAAGATGTCAAAACAAGGGGGTTTCCTGGAGTTCGCAACAAAACGATTTCAGATTGTCGGAGCCAATACGTTTAAAATAATGCTCCTTGGCGAACACTTCTTTGTGACGAGGGAACCCGAGAATATGAAGGCCATCTTAGCCACCCAATTCAAAGACTTTTCATTCAGTCCATCCCGAAAGGAGGCTCTTGGGGATATCTTCGGACACGGGATCTTCACTACTGATGGAAAGGAATGGGAGGCGTCCAGAGCATTACTTCGGCCGAGTTTCACAAGGAGTCAGGTTGGGGACATTGAAACTTTCGACAAACATGTCACCAAGTTGCTTGCCAAGATTCCCCTTGATGGGTCAACCGTGGATCTACAAGTCCTATTCTTCGGGCTCACTTTGGACTCGGCGACGGACTTCCTGTTTGGAGAAAGCACGGATGTTCTCCGAGAAGGTGGCTCCGAATCTGGCGAGAGATTTGCAAAGGCGTTCACATATGTCACGGAACAGGCTGGGATACGGTAATGCCTATCCCTCTCGGTATCATATAAATACTAATTCTTTTCTTTAGAGGACGTGCTGGGAAACTCTCATACTTTATCCGGGACAAAAGATACCCCGAGGAAAAGAAGTTTGTGTATGAGTACGTTGGGAACTATGTCCAAAAAGCGGTGCAACTTCACAAGAGTAGCCTAAACCAGGAGAAAAAGACTGAGGACGCCAAATCCTCGAGATATGTTTTCTTGGAGCATCTAGCGACAACCGGATATTCGGAGAAGAAGATCCAGGATGAGCTCCTGAACATCTTACTAGCAGGTCGTGACACCACTGCTAGTCTTCTCAGCTTCCTATTCTACATCCTAGCTCGTCGACCGGACGTCTTCGAAAAGCTTAGAGCGGAGGTGACGAATTTGGGCGACAAGCCTCCAACTTTCGAAGAGATCAAATCAATGAAGTATCTCCAGTATTGTTTGAATGAAGGTAAGCAATGGATCACCCCACTCTCTGAAATACGAGACTGACTCTTAAAGCTCTTCGGCTACATCCAATTGTGCCTCAGAATGCACGTATGGCCGTTCGCGATACAACTATTCCACTTGGCGGTGGCCCAGATGGGAAATCTCCGATCTTTGTAAAAGCCGGCCAGACTGTTGCCTATTCAGTGTATGCGATGCAGAGGCGAAAGGACCTGTACGGCGAAGATGCGGAAGAATATAAGCCTGAGAGATGGGAGCATATCAGACCTGGGTAAGACAGTCTGAAGGAATAATCAGAACATTTACTAATATGGCATAGCTGGCAATTCCTCCCCTTTAATGGCGGGCCCCGGATCTGGTACGTCTTTACATTACCGCTTCTTATGCAGCCAAACTAATAGGGTTTTAGTATCGGCCAACAATTCGCCTTAACCGAGGCATCGTATACTACTATCAGATTACTACAAACCTTCAAGTCAATCCAGAGAAGAGATGACTCCATATTGACAGAGTACCTTACCCTTACGGCTGCTGTCAGGGATGGCGTGAATGTTGCGTTGACACCTGCCTGATTGGACTGACGATACGGTGTTGTTGCACGGTTTAGATTGTTGAGGTAGGCAACTGGTTTGCTGGTGGGACTCGACGCTCACGAGGCGAAATTGAAATTTAATAAGGAATTGCACGATTCTTGGCCACCAGACGGTCATTGCTATGTTTATGTTTGCATTAATATCTCCGCTTACTCGACCGTTGTGCCATTGCGCACGAATATGATTGCGGGAACTAGGCTTGTTTTGATAGCGTGGGTGTATAGGGAAATACGTTTTATGGCATAGCCTTGAGCTGTTAGATCTAACAGTCTAGTTTCTGGAATGAAGTAGTATACTACTGGACGGGTGCCTTCGCACCCTAGACAGTCCACAACATCGTGCCAACTCCTGTTTCCGCGGACCTCTAAAAGCCCCCCTTCTTAGCGGGGCTTACGCCTCAAACTTTTTTTTTTTACATTCGCAATATGCCTTGTGTTACTTTTAGCTACTGCTTGCTATAAGGATTCCTAGTTATACTTACCATCGAGTCTTCAAACCATAGCCGGCGCTGCCGTCATCGTCTGTCGTTATTTGTTTCATGTTATACTAGATAGTGGCCCAGATCCTGTTGTAGTCGCATCAGGGAATTTTAATTGTCCTAGACCTTTATAATTTCGTAGGTGGTAACCCCTCAATACCCCCAAAATATTTTGATAGAGAAATCGGCTCCTCGCAGTGTCCCTTGTTAAATAAGGCGCTGGGTATTAGAGCTGAACACGCGATACATCCCCTTGGGAATTCCAGAAGCTAATGGTCACCAAGATATCGCTTTAGTAAAGATCAGTTACTATTTTTAGAATGCAATAAGGGGCATTGCGTTGTTCGGGGCGAATGAAGAGGCCTCAAGTCGGATTTAGCTATCATTTTGGTTTGTGTGCGACCTATACCTAATACAGAACCGTAATTGGAAATATAAGACGCTACAGAAGCGCAGGTTCTTCCGTGGGAATCTGTGAGATACCCGATAGTATCCTTTGTGCTGATCCTAGCGCTGCAGTGTCTCAGGGGCTCATCTGGTACGCTCGCCTACTCTAGAGGTCCCAGGTACTATACATACGAGGCGTCGGGATACCCTACCTAGTTCACCTCCCAAGGTAATCGAGCAACCGCCATCAGTTTCAACTTCGCTAAGCTATCTCCTCCATTTTACCTGCATCTCCCGAATATCCTCGCATTCTGGTCGAACGAATCTATCCCTCCGACGCTCATGATGCCGAAACCCCTCCCCCTTTTTCGAGGGGTAGTCACGTTACAAGAAGCACTTGACGAGGGCGAGAACATGCTCGAGGCTCTATCGCATCCTAAGAAATGGGTCGATTTCTATCTTCACCTCTACTGGTATCGTAGCGAGAGGCCACCGGATCATACCGAGTTAGAGTACCGCCAGGGAAGTTAAGTCCAGACGGCGAGGGCAGTGAAGAGTACCACAACGCATGGCGCTTCGTATAAGGAGATCTCTTCCGAAGCAGAGGCGGAGTGATCTATAGGCTCAGCATGCTCTAATTATCAGCGTTATGGAATGGGAACTACTGCGTAGGAGATCATCGACAAAATTGGTCTTCAAAGGAAGGAGCGAACGGCAAGCAAATGCGCATATACAACGCCGAAGTCTGCTTTATTGAGCTTTAATAACAGTCTAGTTATTCCTCCGATGTTGATAGAACATGGCGAGGGCAATTTGGCCTTCAACGTCTCCAACCACTTGATCGGAATCAACTTCGCCAATGATTGTAGTATGAGGTATATGTGTGCGGGAAGCACCACTACTACTTGTCTTGCCAATGGCTCTAATCAATTACGAGGCATTTCCTACAGCACTTGTATATATAGATATATATTTCTGCATTTTGCTTTTTACTGTAGGCACTGTGAATGAGCAAAGCTCTGCTACGTCATGGTATTCAATAACTCGTCCTAAGAGCCGAAATCCTCGACATCCTACATGTCAATCCCGTGTTCTACGGTGGAGTTCGATGCGATACTCCGCAGCTTTATCCTGAATTCATCATATACTTCAGCACAACGTTTGAGAGACTGCTTGATGTCTTGCGAGCAATGCTTGAGGTTGTCTAACAAAGCATTGTCCGGAGCTCCGTTCAGTTCGGTATTGAGAGTACCTAGTAGTACCTAGAAACACCGAAGTACGGCCAGATTTGTGCTCAAGTCTTTGATGGTCTTCAGTGCTTCATAGATGACTTGGCCAATTTGTAGAGTGCTTTGCTGCTAGTGTACGTGAAAGTTGCAACCGAAATGAATTGTATCAAGGTACTCGGCGGATCGACATGATTTGCAATAGATGGAAGCTTAATAGTCTAGCGTTGCTTACACGAGGCCGCTTGCGCGATTGGCTGATCGGGCTTAGCTAGGCCCCTTGCTCACCAAGACATGCATTAATGCGCCCTTACTCCAAACTTGCAATCCCTTTCCAATCTATAGTCTTTCTAGAATAACTTCTCGATGCTCTTCTAGAGAAATAAAGTCTTCGGGAAACGGGTATCTCAATCGAGGATTGTTACTGGTAACTGCTGTGGCACTTTTATGTCGCCGTAGGCCGCCAAACATCTGGAAGCAAGGGTAAAGTTCTGCCGGAGGTGTCAATTCATCTGATTGTTTCCTATAGATGTTCTGCGGCAGTTCCTTACTTACTGCCGCCGCTCAAATAGTTGTTTGTCTCCATTGACGAAAGGATGGTGAGCTGTCCTACGCGTTACATAGCTTCAGTATCTTAATACTAGACTACTCTCCTAGCTATGGCCACCCTATTATGGATGGAAAGGGCCGTTGGCCTCGGTCGAACTAGGGTAGAGTAATTACACTTGTGCCTCCTTCAATTTGCTCTAACGGTATGCATAATCGATGGGGTGTTTTGAGATGAGATGAACACATTTGAAGAGTCAAAGCCCTCTTTTTTAAGATCGAGATACTTACATGGTAGTAACAACTGCGACGAGATTCCCTTTCCGATAACTTAATTTGAGTGACAATATGACGATGCTTTACAACCAAGCAACGCCATTCATGTGGAAAACTGATTCTCTATAATAGTTAGTATATCAAGCCTGGCTGCGGAATGCCTTTGGTAGGGTCGGGATTGCGAAAGGAAGCTTGGCGATGATGATAATAATGATAAGAGAGCCGAGGGTCTATATTTAATCCCTGGAGCTCGTTTGACGTCATTTTGTAGTGGAGAAGTTCTAGGAGGAAGTGCATGAACCCAGGCTCCAAATTCTACCTCTTGTGGCATCCTCGAGGTTTTATATTCAAGATACTATAACATACTACAGCGTGTTCTCATTCTCGATAAATTATTCAAGACTCTCATTCCTCGCAAAATGGGGGGTTTCATTTATTTTGGATATTGCCGAGTCAAGTTTGACATAAACATGACGTACATGTGCCCTGTAGAGGCCGAGGAGTGAAATCAATTCATCGTCTGGATCCATCAATTGTTGTCCAGTATTCCAGTTTATTCATTGCACTCATTGTGCAGGCGGCTTGCTTTCTATAATACCTTCCCAAGTTGGAACGGGACAAAAGAAACCTCTATGGCTTCATTGAATGGCGGCAAATTGACCGATAGAAATCTCCGCATTCCAATGGCCATTTACCAACGTGTTCTTCAAATGGAAACTGAACATAGTCATTTTCTCCAAGGTTACAAAATGTCATACGATCTTGGAATTTGTCATTGCTTTTTTTGAATTTGTCATTGTTATGTTGGCGCTTTGGACTTCCCGCATTTCAACTGGGGTTTGCGAGCCTGAATACAGAACAGGTCATGTTTAACTGTAAGTCAACCAAGCGAAGGATTCAATTGTTTTAGCCTAAGCGACGAACCCCCCCCTTTTCTTGGTACGTATATCTGCCAAGCTTGTCAAAGAGGCTTGGTCTATGAAATAGTACGTACGAAACTCAAATTATATAATTTCATGCCTTGAATTGAATTCCATAAAGAGCAGATAGATTCCGCTTCACAATGAGTACTCATTTCAAAACAGAAAGCATCCGATTGTGGTTCCTTGACCATTGCAAATACCGCCAAGATGAGATCCGTATCTATCCTCACAGTTCTCCTGGGGATAAAGCTCTCTATAGCTAGTCCAGATCCCATGATCACCTTGAGCCCCGTTTTCCCAGTAGAGAAACGCGAAACCTCGGCTCTTAGCTGGGCAATTCCTGCATGTGAGTTCCAAATTCCCCAAACCCATCCAAGTGGACTGTATGTCAATAATTCGTTACTAACCTAACTTCCAGCATGCACCTCCAATTGGCAGGTTATAGAGGCCATAAGCTCGCTTAACAACCTGTAAGTGCCCATCAAGTCTCTATCTCCTTTTACAAAGGAGAAAAGTTTAAGTGACTGATCATTTCTAGGCCCGCAACAATGACAATAGGCAAAGAAGAGATATGCTCCCAAGTTCTTCAACCTACGTATTATGAATACATCACAAACACTCTCCAGGGATCCACAACAAAGACCAAAACAATTTCCCAAACAACATCTACCACAACCACCGATCCTAACTCTCGCACAACCACAATCCTCTGCCCTACGCCCTCCCCTTCTATGCTCTGTGGTGTCGCAGGTACCTTCTCGACTAAGTTTCTCACGGAGAATATTTTCTCGCACGAACCCGAGGGATTTGTGAACCAGAGCGCGTGTAAACAGGCGTGCTTAGCGAATAACAGATGCAAGAGTTTTGTGACGTATGAAATTTCCGGGACTAAATACCATAGTTGCGACATGTATGATGCCCCGTTAGGGGAGGGGATTTTAACGAGGGGGGGTGTCGCCAATGAGGGGCATTGGTTTGATAGAGGGTGTCATGAATTCCTCCCCGTAAGTTTCGGCTTTTTCCATCAGAATTTACCTCTACACGAGAAACCCTGTAGCTGACCCACAATGAATAGGCAGCTTGTAATTCTCCGAATGCGAAACGTGGGGTGGCTAAACGGGGACGAGAAAATTTACCATCTGATCTAGCCAAGAACTATATGCTTGATTTCGCATGCTCGTGTGTTGTCACAAGTGCCTCACCCTCGGTGACAGCAACTGTACCTCGAACGCTGGATAGAATCAGCAAAACTACGGTATGGCCACTCCCCCTCCCTTTGTTATGACTACTGTGTGTGGTAGAATAAGCTATCAGAGTCAAGAGAGAGTATAGATCTATAGGATAGTAGAGCTAACTTTGGACGTGGAATTAGACCACGAGTACTGAGATTAAGACGCGGACTAGCACCAGCTTCCTGCATTTGTCGAGCAGCTACACGTTCGTTGCTTAACGATAAAAAGGCAGTAGTTGTTGATGGGTTGCAGTTCGACGAAGGTTGACGGAGAGAAAAGGGGCAGTGTATTGGGGTCTCGATCGCAATGAGCAATTCTGTTCTAGAGGTGTTATAGAATAGTATTTCAAACTTAATAGCCGAGATTCTTCAAGGATGTTTTGGGAAGAAAGCTTCGTTTCCAGTAGAAACCATAAGTATCAATTAGATGGTTGAACCAATTTCAAAATAGGCCTTCATGGTCGTTTATAAGCTTATACATGAGATTACCATAAAGTCTCACATAGACTCTAGATTGATACTTCGTAAATTTTCCTATCTGTAAAGGGTAGGTAACAGCTGCATGGAACTTTGAGAGAGATGAACCTTCTGAGAATATTTATTGCGAGCCTTTCATACATTATAGTTGTCATCAATATCTCTCGGTCCATCCTATGCATTAGCTATGTGCGCTAGTGTCCGGGGATTTCTCATCTAACCATGTATATTGGAGTTAGCACCTCCTAGGTTCTGTAATGGCCGACGCCAACAGATGATATGAGTTAGGTGGACCGAGATATTGCAATAATTGCGGTGGAGTTATCATAATATAGGTTGGAAGATCAGATGAAGTGTAGCTATATCCGCGGCGTGAATTTGCACTAGTGGCCTCTCCTGACTGGCAGTGGCCGTGTCTCATTCCATATGGTTTGCTTGTAGTACTTTGTTAGGGCCATCTCCAGTGGTAGCTTTCGCCAGTATGCGTGGATGGGAATGCCTTCGTAATGATGTTCATTGTCATAATCATCGCCGTGCTTGGATTGCAGATCAGACAACTACTTTGTTTTAGTTCATCCCTCAGCTTTTTCTCGGGCATTCATGGCATGGTCCTGCAAATTCCTTGGGTGTGCTTAGCAATCCTTGTAGATGTCGAAGTTGCCTTCTAGAAAGCGGCTGATCAGATATTGATTGTATGTAGTTCAGTTGTCGGAAGCGAAGTGCATGAAAATAATGAGTGTTGTTCCATCGGTAGTAAAATCCCGATAGCGGCAGGATTGGGCGGGTCGGGGATTCCAAAGTATGAAAGGGCTTTCGTTTCTGGCGTACCTAGGTAAACTATACAATCACCATCGGATGCAGCTTAATGTGGCGTTACAAGCGTATCATTTCCCAGCTCGCTCCATTCCCCAGGTATAAGAGGTAAGGTCGGAGGATTTGAATATGGATTAAGAACAGCGGCTGAGAGGCACTCTTCAGCGGGGACGGAGCGAACTCTGTCAGGTCAAGGCATTCAATCATGCCTAGCATTAGAGCTAATAGCCCATCGTTAAACCCTATGTTCATAGAGAGGTTGTCGAATGATGGACCGCAAACAAGGCTATATCCCTTCCTAATATCGCGCTTAAGCAAGTCGAATATCACTAGTAACATAGTTACCTTATTAAGAGCTTTCTATGAACTTCAAAGGAAGTTATTAAACTCCGATTTAGATGACGTTAGTGAGTCGCCATTGGGCTAGCTGAGGCAAGCTTGGAGATTTTCAAGAGGTATGGAGTGGACTAGATCGAGGATACAATTGTGGAAGGAAATCATTGGGAAACGTGAGTCTGTCGAAAAGGCCAACTGGCCTGAAATTTTAGATATCCACTTTGGGGTTGTTCCTGTTAGTCCTACCTTTTCTTTCGAATGCCGTCAAGTTGCGCTCTATTTGACGAGCCCAGTTTGGATGATTTTCGGCTAGCCGGTGGTTATGGGTTTGTAGTGGACGAGGATATGCTAGGTTCTTATACAGGTATTAGTGTAGTAGTTGTTGAAAACGAACAATAACAACAAAGCTTTAAATTTTATCCTTGAAATACGTCGCTCACTTCACAAGATTAAGAGTTTGCGTTTTGGTGAATGAGGCCGATCCCAGAGGCGGTGAAAGATAAGGATCTATTGATCGTGCCCGGGTGAGGTTTGAGATCCAGAGTTGGGTTGTGGAATTTGATGTATTGGCCGAGCTTGATGGTTGATTGTATCTGAGAAATCCGGCTCCGAGACACTATACAGTATTAATGCCCTCATCATTATCATTAGGAGAATGTTTCTTGATTGCCTAATTAGCTTTGATGTAGACCTCGCTGCTGTTGCTGAGGAGGTTGACGTTTTCGAATTTGTGTAAGTGGTAGATTAATGGCGGTATTAATAGTTGAAGTTGGGTGACAGGACGTCGCAGGCCGACTAGCAAAGACTCTGAGATGACTGATATAGACGGAAAGGATGTATTTGGGTAGACAGAATTTTGACACAGTTGATAAGGATGAAAAGGAGATGTATAGGTAGACATAACCTTTTACGGTAGTTGGTTACTAGTTGTAGATGAACGCCTTCAGGTAGTGAGTAGGAACAAGGTATCGAGATAGATGCAGAAGAAGACATTCAAGTACCTGGGTAAACAAAGACCGCGACATAATTGATAAATAGGAGGAGACGCCTAGCTAAACCAAGGCATCGAGACAGCCAATGAGGAGAAATTTGTGTAGCTAAAGGCTTCGAGATATGAAGTAGTTGGCTCATGTCTCTCGGACCAATCAACTGCGATGACAATCACCTACTTCTAGACTCGCAGGGTCGTGGTCCCAAGATCCTGCTAAGAACCTCTGGTTTATTAATATTCCACCGCGATACGCCAATTCGCGGTACCATCAATAGGCTGCATTCCTTCTACAACCCCAATGGAGCACAACGTTCCCACGTATTACCCTTATTATAGCGGATGACAGATCTGTCTTTACAGTTGTGTGGGGCGGGGGGCTGGGCGGCAAGCCACAGGTTGATCAGCAGCGTCATCACTTGCTCACTTAATGGGGTTCGAGGGTTACTAGGTAGTTAGTGACACGGAAGCGTTTCGAACCGCGACAAATCGAGCTCCTGTTTTTCGTTTCGACGATATTTAATTAAGACACGCTGGTCCTGCTGTCTGTCTCTTGTTTTCCATTCGCAATCCCCCCCGCGGGAATCGATTCCTTCTTTTTCCATTCCCGTTCTTTAAAATCTCGTGCGCTGGTTGCTTTTCGCTGTTCCCTTTTGTGAGATATTTAGGTAGATATTTGCTTTTCGGACTCGGCGGATACAAGTAGTTGTTTGCGCCGGAGGGGAAAGGACACTGGTCCGATTGTTCCAATACGTGCGTACGAGTGTTTTCGAAAAATGGCTGCGCCGGTTGAGCCCGCGATGAGGAAGAAGGTGTTGAGAGTGGTATTCATATCTCTGCTGCTAGATCTGGTACGTCTGTATTCGCGTCCTACGCGCCTTTCTATACCCCTCCTTCAATAATAAGGTGTCAGGTAGAAAATCCCCATATCTTTGCTAATACTTCAGCATAGATATCATTTACCTTCATCCTCCCGCTCTTTCCCTCCCTTCTCGAATTCTACCGCTCGAAAGAAGCACCCCTCGAAGCCTCCTCCTCGACCACATCCCCCTCCATCCTCAACTATATCCTCACCTACCTCAATGCCTATAAAGCATCCTTCTCGAGACCCATCGATTCCAGATATGACATCGTACTACTCGGTGGAGCATTGGGTAGTTTATTCTCGTGAGTGAAACACGGCGCTATCAGAGCGCGCGGAGGACTAACATCTGGTTCCTATATAGTCTCCTCCAAGCCCTGGCCTCCCCCGTAATAGGCACACTCTCCGATCGCTATGGCCGTCGAACAGCCCTCCTCTTCAGCATGGCGGGCAACATTCTCAGCGTCCTCCTCTGGGTCTGCGCCACGGATTTCCGAACCTTCCTGCTCTCCCGCGTCGTAGGTGGCCTCTCGGAAGGCAATGTGCAACTCGCCATCGCCATCGCGACGGATATCTCAGATGAGAAGCAGAGAGGGGCTACGATGGCATTGGTGGGTATCTGCTTTAGCATAAGCTTCACGTTTGGGCCGGCATTGGGGGCGTGGTTGAGCACCATCAGCTCGGTCAAAGCGAACCCTTTTGCAACCGCGGCGGGATTCTCATTGTTCTTGATTGTAACAGAGACATTGTATCTTTATTTCTGTCTCCCGGAGACATTACCTAGCAAAGTCGCTACAGCAAAGCTCAACGGCCATACCACGAACAGTACCGTCAAGCCCACTCTCCAAGCCGGCTCTAAACCCGCAGCTTCCAAATCACTCAGCACAAGCAAGCCATTCCTCCGAACAAACTCGCACTTCCTCCTCAACCTCACCCACCTAACCTTCATCCTCTTCTTCTCCGGCATGGAGTTCTCGCTCCCCTTCATGACCTTTGACCTCTTCGGCTACACCGCCGCGCGCAACGGCCGCTTACTAGGCTACATGGGCCTTGTAGCATCTCTCCTCCAAGGCGGCTTCACCAGACGCCTCCCCCCACTGGTATCAGTACGCATAGGCGTGGTCTCCTGTCTGCTCGCGCTCCTCCTCCTCGCGCGCATCACCACCGTGGGCGGTCTCTACGCCGCGACGACCCTCCTAGCCATCACGAGCGCTACCGTCGTCACGGGCTTAAACGCCCTAAGTAGCTTCGAGGCCGGCGAGGATGAGCGCGGTGGAAAGCTGGGGAATCTAAGGAGCTGGGGACAGCTTGGACGAGGCGTGGGGCCGTTATTGTTCACGAGTGTGTATTGGTGGGCTGGCAGGGAGGTCGCTTATACTATTGGGGGAATGGGTGTTTTGGCCGTGAGCATGATTGTATTTTTTGGGTTGGAGACACCGAGGAAGCAGATTGCTGATAAGAGTTCTGAAAAGGTGAGGGGATTGTAAAAAAAAGTTACTTTATTTGGAATAGCTGCCGGATTTGGGGGAATATATATATTACATGACACAATCCTGCATCTCTTACAACTTCAGGACTGGGCTCAAGCAAGCCTGCAAAAACCGCTGGGCTTCACAAAACGTTTTTTAAAACACCAAACCCAACCCACACCCCTCGGTGCCGCCAAATCCAGTAGCCCAAATTGCCAAATTTCCTATCCACTCTAATTATCATGGAAACCCCTTGCTGATGTGGGAAGGTTCTCTATATGTCGAACGTAATAAGTGCTACCAACGTATCATTCGCTGCCAATGTATTAAAATGCTGTCAACAAAACACCTTACCTACATGCCTAGGTAGATGCCTACTTCTCTTCTTCACTAGATCCCTCGCAGGGTCTGAGAAGCAAATAGGGAAGGAGACTACGCTTAGACACAAGGTGCAGATATTAGACCCGACACGGCTCCACATCTCGACATACGGTGCTGAGGTTGTTTGCTGATATCTTTTAGAGTCAAGTGCTCTAGGCTAGATAATTTGGAGATTTGAGCGAGGTTTGAATTTGTGTATAATGGTGGGGGGGTTTATTGGTTGGTGAGGGTTGGAGGCGGGGGAGGTGTAGGCGGGGTATACATGGCGTCGGCGGGGTTTTTGGAGGGTGCTTAGATTACTTATAAAAGAGAAGGGCGGGTTGGGTGAGAATGGGATGTGCATACTAGTTGAGTCGAAACGATATTAAATAGTGATGACAAGTATGCGCGGGAATGGATGTACAGTGAAAGTAGGTTTATATATAAAGTAATCTATGGAAACCACGGATGAATTTCATCATTTAGAGCCGCAGACCTGGGGACCTAATCCCTTCGAAGCCATGAACTTTCAAGGCAGCAGCAAATACTTCGGTACCGCTACAACTCAAGCCACTATTCAGCGCAACCGGTCGATATAAACCCCCATATCCAAACGCCCTTACCGTTAAACCCATAAATCTGAAATACCAATCGTCAGCAAAAATGTCTTCTCAAATTTTGCAGATAAGTAAAAATTCCATTCCCCAAAAACAGCCTCAGTTGAAAGATGAAAAGTCTCGAGATGTGTCAGCATCCGACAACGTGAATTGCCATCAGCATTAGCATGGATTGTTGCATCATAAGCCGTGGTCCTCCCCGTCCCTCATTCCTACCCTAACTTTTCCCAAAACACCAAGAAAATGTATAAACCACAAACGTACCTGTTGAAGCATCCGTCATAATGTTCTTCGAGGTCGAGATATCCTGTTCTGATATGGCAATCAGCACAAGACCCTGATATCCATCCCATCCCATCCAGTATATTTCCGCCTCAACACATCATTCAGCTAATCGAACCAGTTTATTCGTCATTCTCTAGTGAGAAATCCGCATTTGATAGTATATGTTTTGCTCATCACGTAATGGTTTCCTCCTTCTCTCTCCCTACACACACACTCTCGCCCTCATAAACATCGCACAAACTCACAAAAATTAATATTCCTACATCCCCTTCACATTGCAAACATTAGCAAATTTGCTCTCATCAAACTCAGTTCAACCCAGTGTGATATGAATATGATACAAGGAGAAAATAGGTTCAGATAGTCCGTTTGGAAAGACAGGTAAATCACCATGGGAGCAAAAGCTCATTGGTAAGATAGGGGCGACACGAAGGTTCATCATGATATTAAGTATCTTGGTATGTGTGTGTGGAGAGAGAAGATAGAGGAATGAATCTGAGGTGCGTACCTGTTTGCTTGCTTGGCTGCATAGCATCTTGCCTAGCTAGAGGAAGAGAGAATAATACGGGCGGAGAACAGAGAAATATAAGGAATTACGGACGCGGAAGTAGATTATGGAAGATCATACCCGGAAGCGCGGTGGTGGGTGAGGATCGAGTTGTTGTTGGTGTTGGTATTGTGAAGGGAAGAAAAAATTGGGTGGACGTTGAGAAATTTCAAATTGGAGGTAGGCGGGATTTCTTAGCGCTGTGTCACGTGACATGTGATATTCCAGGGGTTCGAATTTCTTGACCGTCAGTGCTTCAAAAGCTAAGAGCATTATTATCTGCCGAGTCAATAACGTTGTCGCAACAAGGTCATTGTTCCGCATTCCGTGTTACAGGAGGAGTTGATTGCAAAGAGTATGTTTTTTGTCGCTATGGGCTATGAAGTACTGGTCTAAACCGTTCTCTCTCAGACATTCAGCAACACAACACAGCACGACACCACACCGTCTAAAATAGAAAGGGCCACGCACAAAATGAAATGCTCCTGTGTAAATTCTAACGATAAGCAACCTAATCCATAGATATGCCGCAATAAAATAAAAATAAAAACGCCCCATATTGTGTAAGTTATGCCAAGCAATGAACACCCCGCCAACCCCTCATGAATGCGTACCATTTCCTTTCCATATTTGATTGCACTGCAAAAATCGCGAGAGCCCCCTTGATGCCAAAGAACGAAAAGCCTAACGTTCAATAGAGTACGCCTTTTCCACACTCCTCTTTTCAACGTGCTAATGCCATTTGCCGATGTATTCCGTTATCCCATGCCCAGAGTGCTGCATCTGTCTGCTGCTGCTGCTGTTGCCAATCGTACATCAACCGACCGCGTCCCCATGGTTTGTTTCGTCAAGCCTGCCAGCTTGCGCTCTCGATAGTATTTTAAGTGACGCCATGCGGAAACGACAGCCCGACACGCGCCAGATGATGAATCGAAAATAAAAGAAACACACACACAACGCGAGAACACCGTAACATGCCCTTCATCCTTTGCCTGATCCTGCTTTCAACTCCCGCAATTGATACCACGCGAAATGGGGGAATCTCATGAACACCGCGCTACAAAGTCTGTAAAATGCGAAATGCAACCCGATGCAGCAAGAGGACCGATTCCTTATTGGGATCGGTCCCGAAAGAAGCAAAATAGCAAAAATATCATGTCGACCGCCCGACAAGTGGGGAATGAGTGTGAAGAAGTAAAAAGAAAGTGCAAGACCCGAATCATCCGAATCGCCTCTCGCGATAAGCATATGACGAGCTTGGTCTATCTTCCCATCATATATGCAGGAGGGAATCCATTGTGTGCCCCATTCATCATCGTTGGTGGGCCACCAGCAGCCATAGCGCCAGCAAAGACTGGCCCGTTCCATGGAGTGGCGTTCCCTCCGAATGAAGCAGCCGTGTACTGGCCATTGGCGCCGTTCATGGGGTTATTGCCATATGCCATTCTTCCCGGGCCAAGGCCTGGGGGAGCAGTAAGGCCAGGAGGAGGGCCGTTAGCAGTGCTAAACGCAGACCCTGGTCCGCCAACCATACTTCCATTCATACCCTGCATAACACCAGGAACTGCCGATGGCCCTGGGGATGTCATCCCCTGACCAGATCGCACTCCGAGGGGATTCTTGGAGAAACTCAAACGGATGCCACCTTTGATGCTGTTGTGGAGAGGATGGCCATAGAGCTCGTGAAGAGCTTTGGTCGCGAAAGAGACATCCTCAAACTCTACGAAACACATGGGCCCGTTCTGCTTGGTCCTAAAACACAGACGCTTGTAGCCACGCTGCTTCGAGAACATGGCCTTCAGCTCGTCCTCGGACGTGTCGATGGGAAGATTGCCCACATAGAGGGTGTTACACGGAGGATTCTGGTCAGCAGGATTGACTGGCGGAAAGTTATGCCGCTGATAATGCTGGCTACCAAGCTGGTAGCTCGCCGGGGGCCCGGCGCTGCTCATCGCCGTGGGCGATATGGGGTGCGAATTCGAAATGGACGACATCGGCTGCGAGAAAGACGAGAGTGGCGCTGGACCTGCAGCATTGCTCGTGTTGAGAGACAACCCGGCCATACGGGAGATGGGGATCTGGGGGTTCGTCGGCCGGCGCATCTGGACCGTTGAAGACCCATTTTCAGCATACGCTACCGGGTCCTTTGGAAGTAGGTCTTTGAGAAGCTCTCCGGTTTCGTCATCATCGACAGAATCATTGTTGATCAAGGATTTTCCAGTGACTCTAGTCCGTTCGTTCAGGTGGTTTCCGATGGGGGATTGCGGGGAAAAGAGGCTCTGGTAGTGAGCGCTGAGCTCAACGGCGGCCAGCTCACTCCCTGCGTATGATCCATTGGTGGTGGGAGAGACTCTCTGAGTTGTCTGGAAAGTGCCATTGTACCGGGACGATTGGCGGGGAGTCGGACCTCCGGACGATGCTGTCGACGATGTGGAGCTGGACGGGCCAGGATTGGAAGTATTGTCGACGGTGTAGCGTCTGGAGGTAGAAGGGGTCCCGTAATAGAATTCCACCATCATCTGCGCGTCATTGGCGACATTCGGCTTGCCGTCCAACATGTTCTTCGCCTCGAGGGCGCCCGAATGCGACTTGAAGCGCAAAACGGCGGCGCGAAACCCAGCGTCCTCGGACTTTTCGGGAGAGAGGACCTCGGCATCGATGAACTCTTTCGACCATACCACCATCAACCTCAATGTGTCCTCGGTGGTGTTGAGCGGGAGGCGGCGGATGACGACGGCCGCGGGCGCGGTGGTGAACGCGCCGGCGGGGGACTGCGACGAGTTGATGGCGGCGTCACTGGCAAAGGCATTCATGGTAGTCATGGAGAGAGACTGGTAGGATTGCTGGGGCGGATTGGAGGTGCGGAAGGCGGGACCAGGCTGGGAGAATGCAGGAGGGCTCATGGCATGCTGTGGTGGGTAGGAACTGACGCGATCGGACGGCGGGGATTGATTGCTGTGGGAGGCGGAAGCTGTAACTGCGACCGATCGACTGTGAGCCACGTTCATGCCTCGGTCGCACAAAGATTGAGGGCGATGTTTGCGACCAGCGTAGCGCTGAATCCGGGGACGAGAGGATTCAGGAACGACGCGCTCAAGGATGCGACTGACGTGACGTGGGGATGATCGGAGCGCGAAGGGAGGCTGAAGAGGAGGAGGACGATACGGGAGCGCGTGATGGGTCGGCAGAGGTTTTTGCAACGGGCGGCGGAGGGAATGGATGCGGGTGTGATGGCGGTCGCAGTCGTGCTGATCGATGATTGCGGACGAGGTTGAGGCGATGATGGAGAGACGATGGCAGTCATTCGTGAGAGGCGAGGTTGTCGAACCGGTCGAATGCAGCAACCAGGAACGCTGGGGAAGGGAGCCGTGCGACCCACGTCTTTGGAATGCGTGGGGAATGGGCGAGATGGGTGATGGGCGATGTATTAATTCCTAACTTATTTTTATTTTTCTCTCGAAGGAGCACGTCGCATCCGCTGGGTCAGGCGAGCCGGAGGAAGGATTGATTAGACGGCGCGAGGAGGTGGTGGGGGGGGAGATAGATAGATAGAGGTAGATCGGTAGATAGATAGGACACGGCGAGTGAGAACTGAACTTGAAGACGGATTGTGACCAGGCGGGCGGTTTACGGTCGCGAGAACTTGTCGGGGAGCGAGATGGTAGATGGGAAGTTGGACGAGGGACGGTGAAGGTGAGGATGGCGAGGATGTGGTGAAGGTGAAGGTGAAGGTCGAGGTGAAGGTCGAGGTGAAGGTCGAGGTGAAGGTGAAGGTGGTGAAGGGACGGGGTGGATGGATGGACGGACGAGTTGCGTAGGTCGAGGTCGAGGCAGGTCGAGGAGCGTCGAGGTTCGAGGCCGCGAGGTGTGAGGTGCGAGGCAGGCCAAGACCTAAGCTGCGTTGCTTGGTGCTTGGGGCTTGGGGCTGCGTAAGGTCAGGTAGGGCAGGGCAGGGGAGAGTAGGGAAGAGTAGGGTCAGGTAGAGTCGAGTCGAGTGCTGCGGTAGGGAATCGGGGGAGGGGATTGGG